ATTTATTTACAGACCTTTCCATTTTATTTTAATTACTTTTTTATTTATAATGCTTTTCAATTTTTCGATTAGCTATTTCTACAAGCGAACTGAACCTCAATATCCACACTGCACTATTCAGAAAGACAAACTCGTGGCCGGAATTGTAAATTAAAATTATACAAAATAATCACATGAATATTCTATATGTTTGTAGATGTATTTGTAAGTCAATTGTGGCTTTAAATCAAATTTAAAAGAAATGAAATATTTTGTATGCAAAAAATCAACTAGTTAAAACCAATAACAGATCCAATTATTTTTAATTAAAAAAAAACTTTATGTTTACGAGAAGAAGCATAAAAAAGCAATAAAATAAAAATCGAGAATATCAGAAATAAAGACGTACATACAAGTTTATGCAGCAAATTGCATATAGAATGCACACTCAAACTATGCTACCTCAAAAGGAAAACAAGAACTAAAGTTTGGAAAAAAAATAGGTACGTATTTATGTTGTATGGTTATAGTAAATATGAAAATCGACACAATTTAGCTAAGTAATACGCAATTCAAAAACTATGAAATCGATCATAAAGTAAAAAAAAAAATCAAATTGAAATGCTTATTCTGAGTAAAACGATAAGCACCTGGCACCAAAGGTAAGGTAGTATTTCCTACAGCTGGTGGGGCGGGTATTTGACCAAATACCATCCCGTGCCGACCTCCTAAAGGTCTACCGGGTATGTGACCTATATAATGATACAATGTAGAGATGATACACAACAGAATACAGTGAGCGAGTGTGTGTAAATGTGTTGTGAAATAGAAGTTAGATGGTTGTGGTAATACAAGAAAGAAAATATATATACAGCTAAATTAGATAAAGTGGCCAAAGATGTCTAAATGTTATTATTATTCATACAAATGAATATGAGATAAATTATGTTTAAACAATTTAATTTGTAACGTTCTTCATAAACTCGAAATTGCGCCAATTTACAATAATTTTTAGTTGTACACAAGAAAAAATTCAATAAATACAAAATAAGTAAAGGCTGGTTAATTTTGTTAGAAAATGTTAAACAAATGTATAAAATATGTTCTTATTAAAAACAGAAACAGAAACAACACAAAAAAAAAAAAAACAAAGAAGACAGACGGAGAGCGACTCGTGTGAGTGTGTATGTAGTAGTATATGTTGTGCACGGTTAGGAAAGCGAAAGAGGAAGTTGCAATTAAAATTTTCGTTTGTTCAATTTTTATCTTTAGCTTTTTGTTTTTGTTATTTCTAGGGAAATCGTATGAAATGTTATCAACAAAGAATATCAACACTATGAGATTGTGTGATGGGTACATATTACATAGGCGTACATACCTTGTTGGGTCAGTTGTACAACAGCTGCTGGTAGTTTTGTGGAGACTGCCACAGGCGTTGCACCTACGGCGGGAATTTTGATTTCAGCACCCTGTGGCAGCACGTCGCCACTTGCATTGGTGGTAGTTGAATTACCACTGACACTCGCGCTACCAGGTGTTGAAGTTGTTGCTGTCGCTGTTGTTGTGGTTGTTGCTGCTGCCACTACTGTAGCATTGAGCAAATTACTAGCGTTCGTTGTGGCAGCTGCTGTTGTGGGCGCAACGCCACTGCCGCTGCTGTTGCTATTACTACCACCACTACTATTACTATTACTACTATTTATTTCTGTAGCTATTTGAGATTGCGTACTCTGTGGAGAAAAAACGCAGTAAAAACACACAAAATTAATCAATGTATGAGCGAGTTATACGCATTGAAAGTGTTTGCAGTCAATTTTTTTTTTTTTTTTTAATTTACTAGTTATGAATCAGACAAATGCCTCGCAAATGCGAACATCCTTTGGAAGCCAACATTCTCAAAAATAGAGGCCGTTAGCTTGTTCAGTGACATTTTATCATCATTTTGAGCGTATATGTAACTAGCTGACAACAACAAATTCTATGGATATGTGTGTATTGTTTATACTAACCGTTTTATTTGTTATTGCGGTCAAATAGTCTTGTGTTTGTTTTTGTGTTTGCAATTGTTGTTGCTGCTGCTGCTGCTGCTGATTGCCGCTGGCAACACCAATTATAGTTGCTATGTTATCAGTTGATTTTTGTTGTTGTTGCTGTTGCTGTTGTGCTAATGCAGCAGCTTTGTCCTCGTTAACTAACTGATCTAGACGATAAGCATTGCTAAAGGTGACGAATTGTGGGGTTGGTGGTTTCTTACGCCACGTTGGGTAGTCCATCATGTTGCCACCGCTTTGTAAATAGAATAATTCGGCGACATTTTCTGTGTGTCTAAACAAATCGTAAAAAGCAAAAAAAAAAAAATATTTTAGTATTTATTTTCCATAAATAAATCGTTTAATTTGTGTACCTTTCTTTAAGACTACGCAAACGGAGATATTTTTGCTCCACAATGCGCTTCTTGAGCGCATTTATATCCTGTGGTGCAGACACTGCCGTATTGCTGTTATCCGCCGTACTCCCACTTGCTGGCAACAACGAAGCAGTCAGGCTACCACCGCCGATACTATTCCCCACTAGTTTCGGACGCTTGGCCAGCGGTGAACCGCTGTACGTATCTTGTTGCGCCGCCTCTCCAATTACACTTGACGTACTCGTTGAGGATATAAAACTATTAATAAGACTGCCTGACGTTTCCGTCGTTATAACGCGTTGCGTATTCTGTGCACCAGTTATACTTTCAATTGGATTTTGTGCTAACGAAACAAAATCACTCGCTGTATTTTCTGTTACCGCGATAAGTGATTTTTGCGGCATAGACGTTTGCTGCGCCTGCGCCACTTGTTGAAATTTCTGTTGTAGCGATTTGTTTTGAGAACTTTGTAAATTTGTTGAAGTTATTCTTGTTGTTGTTGTTGTTGTGTTAATTTGTTGTTGCTGTGTTTGCAATTTTGGCAAATGTTGCTGTGTGAACGCTTGCTGAAAGCTGCGAGGTGTAACGGATGTATCAACAAACGTTGTGGCCACTACTTGATGTGCCTCAGGTGTGGCAACGGTTATAGTTGTTGGTGTAATTATACCCGTATAGGTGGTTGTAGCCACCGATGCTGTTGTATTTGTAGACGATAAAACTGATCTATGGTCGGATACAGCAGGAGGGGCTGGGCTAGCCCGTTGATGCCCCCCTCCTGCTGACTCACCTTCATTCATGTTTGATGCATCTGTGAGAAGAGATTGAAAATGTTGTTATTGCTTTGCAATAAATTTCAGAAAATTTATATCAAAATATATTAAAATTTTTAAAATTCCATTTTGCTTTGTACATATGTACATATATTGCGAGTTTATCGAGTTTTGTTACAAAATTATATCACTTTCGAATAAGGTATGTATTTCAAAAGTGTAAAGCAAATTTTGTTTTTCTTTAGCAAGGTTACAAATTGTTTTATCACACAGTAAAATGATAACACAGAGTGCCCTTGCTTATCAAATATGCGGTACATGATTATTATACTTGTATGTATATAAGTTGGCAATATAATTAAAATGTTTGATTTAGCAACATTGATTAATTTGCAAAATCAATAAACTATATGTGAAATTAAAAATAAAACGATAGGCATGAAACATATTAATTTATTTATATAAGAATATCGGCGACAATAAATAACGATTATTTTTATGATTTTGAAATAAGAAAATATAATAATTAGAAACAAAAAAAATAAAAAATTTGATATCATGTTTAGTCCTTTTTCGACGATCTACCCATGATTTTAAATTTTGCGGCCTTCGGCTTCCAGCCACGAACACGCTCAGGATCATAACCCTTAGTCAGTAGAATTCTATTTATGTTCTTCGATATATTATTATTAGGTAAAATATTTTTTACATGTCGGCATTTTGGTTTCTCGGTGTTTTGAATAAGCATTACTTAAGAATTTTGGCACATACTAAAACTAAACCACTTCCAAATCAAAATGTTTATTTCAAATGACAAAATTAGTATAGTTTAATTCGAAAAAAAAAGAATTAGCTAAATTCCATGAAAAAAACATTGAACATAAATTATGGTAGTGTGACATTAAGGGTAGTATGGTAAACATTTTTCAAAACATCGAAACAATTTTTTTGCCGCCGCAAGGTGTCATGTGCTGAAATCGCATAGCTGGCGATCTTTAAACGCGTTTTTCTCCAAACAGTATTTTTTTGAACTGGTACCCACGATTCTATCCAATCTCCTTGGCCGAAAAGACTTGGCTATCAAATGGCCTATAATCATCATTGTTTATAGATATTTGACAACATTATGACACAATTAGTACAAAAAAATATATATATATTAAAAAAAAAAATAAAGTTGCACTATTTGTTTATTTTAGTCGAAGGTCACAGCTTTCCATGTATGTAATGTATTAAATGTATTCCGTTCGTTTTAGATCATCCACAATGGAGAAATCAATCGTGGGTACCACTTATTAAAGATGACATCTTCCGGTCAACCATATCTCCACCGAATATGAAGAAAAATTAAGAAAAAAAATTTTTCTCTGTACTATATTATATGTAGAATAACATATGAAAAGCCTGAACTCTCAAATAAAAATTTGTGTGGRAAAAAAAAATTRTTGAAAAAATGGTTGCGTTTACCTTACTACCCCTTTAACAAAAAAAKTTTAATACATTAATTGAATCGAAGGGGGAGGTGTAATGAGTGGTAGCTTTTCAATATAAACTATGTGTCCAGCAGTTGCATCGCAAATATATTTTCATGATGTTCCAAATAGTGCGCAGAACTTTATTTTGAAAAGCTTGTAAAACATTTGAATTCGCTACACTACTGTACGTGCAGATCGCCCTAAGAATAACCTTTTAAATTAGCAAAACTAGATGCCAAACTTTGTACAATGCTTGGCGGACATCAAGAAAGATAACATCTGTTTATTGTCTTCCTAGACCGGCAAAAGTTTGCGTAAAAATATTCTAATATATTGAAGCGAAGCATAGTGGGATTTTTTATAATAAATACTATAATTTTATACATAAAATATTATTTGTTTACAAAGCGACTTTTTTATGACAATAATAAATGCATATTCAAAATGTGTATAATTTATGTGTCTATGTACTACATACTCATATAACATATTAGGATAAATTTAACTGAATTAGATTTTGATTTTTTTACTCAAAGAAGAAATTATTATGCACAATTTATAATTTTTATCTAATATTTTGCAAGTTTAATGATCGTAATTTGTTTAATTTGTACTTTAGACGCATGAGTTTAAAAAAGACATACAAAGTTATTTAAAGTCCTATCAACAGCAATAATTTTGTAACAAAAAAAAGAGCCAGTTGCAATTCGAGATGTTATTATAAAAATAAAATTGGACTTTGAACAATAATTAAATGTTGCATTTTTTAATTATTTATAAATATAAAATAATTTAAAATTAAATTAAACATGCTTTAATTTCGCAAGAATATAAATTGTTTTATCACACAGTTTAATGATAACACAGAGTGCTCTTGCTCTTTAATGTGTATGTATGTGTATGTTCAATTATTAGACTGCAGCAAATAATAGCCATATGAACATACATACATACATACATAAAACTGCAAATGATCTACACATTGCACAAATAACTCCGCCGGATTAACTTATTGATAGTATCATACATGATATAAACCTACTTTTGTAAGTATATATGTACATAGGTATATAATTATAGTGAATTTCAAGTTTACTATTTTTTTTTTTCTAAAATTTTAATCAAAGCACAGTCTTTAACTTAGAGTTGTTTAAAATTTAAATTTAAAATAGCTAAAAAAAGAAAAGCGCATCCTGCCGTAAAACCCCATCCAAAACAAACAATACTTTACCACCCAACCCTCGGCAACTGCTAAATTTAGGAAGAACACAATATTAAACATTCCAGTTACCAAGCGTATATATAATTAGAAAATTAAAACACTTGAACAAATTATTAGGGACAATAATTAACATCGATGTGTAAAAAACATTAAAAATAAAAAAAATATCAATGAATAAAAGAATAAAGAAAATATCTATGAATAAAAAAATAATCTATGAATAAAAAACATGAAACCAAATATGAAATGCATGTATAAATTACGTACCTAAACGTTTTCAACATAAATTTAAAATACAATGGGTTGTGTTTTGTAATTTTTATAAAACAAAATATACTTTGATTTAAATAATTAATTTTCAATTTTAATGGCGAAAACAAAAACAATAACAACTAAATTATTATTAGGCAAATGTTTATATTACCTATTTTAAAATCAATTTTTTTTTTGTTGTTAAAGTTTTTCACTTCAAAGATTTTTAAATTCAGTTAATGATACATATTCATTTAAAATTTTATTTAAAAAATTGCTACCAATTTACTAAATAAAAAACAACAACGACAACACTGTGCTGAGAACGATTGATTAACGAAACATCGCGCAACTTTGAAACGACTTCCCTGTTTTTATGCGGCGGCCATATTGATATTTCATTTGCCGAATGCCACATTGAGGGTTGTCAACCATATACACTTTTTCGCACTAGGAAAATTTTGACGGCAAATCTACCGATTTAATACCTCAGCCCATTAAACAAATGTATAGATTTATTTAAAAAATCGGCCCCATTTATTACATAGGCATCATTTTTTTGAACTACATTTTTAAGCTTCGAATATTTTATATTTAGGTACTTCAAATGCAACACTGCTCTAATCGACTTTTCTCTATCCCGAACAAACGAATGAATAGCACAACGACCATTTCAACTCACCTCAGACAGCTTTTTTCAATCACGAAATTTCTGGTTTTCCTATAGACATCTGTCCAAAATTCAATGACAATTCGAATTTTTAAACTTCAATTTCAATCGGAACACAAAATTTTTTAATATTTTTACACTATTATCCACAAAAATCACAATTCAAATTCTATGTAAAAATCTATGGAAATTTTCTGCGCTTCACCGGATTTCAGCATAGGCTATACTCTTCACACGCACAGATCACCGTATGTTCCGTCTCATTCAATTTTTAGAATTTCACATAAACATCAAGCGCACTAATGTGCGTACCACCTCTGAACGCGTTGAGAACATTACGGAAACTGAAACGGCGAAGTGAAAAATCAGCCAGCGAACCATCCATTTTGCGTTTCGTCCGCTATATTGTCAGCCATCTTTAAGCAGAGTTGCATGAACAAGTACCCGAAATTCATTGTCAATAATATTGAAAAAAGTGGCGGCAGCGTCGAAATGGCCCAACATAGTTCACAATTTCGTACGTGATAATTAGAATTTACAAAATAACTTTTAAATTGTAAATTAAATCAAATTCTTTTCAGCTATTTTAACAATTAATATAAATATAAATAGATATATTAGAAAAAAGGGAATTATATTCCATTTTGAAAAATTGTTTATCGATTTATCGAATTGGTTCTTCATTAAATAAATTAGCACTTCAGCTGTTTAGCGCCTAATTTTGGCTTGAGGGGCATTCTGTCGTGGAACTTTAAAAATTTGAAAGCTCTACAGATTCGCGTTTTAATATGACCGATTTGGAGCAATTTGACGGACTTGGTTTATCCACTTATCTCATAAGAAAGTTGCAAAAGAAGTGTATTTTTACCAGATATGAATTGCTCATTACAAGTAATGCGGAATTAATGGAAATTACGGGTCTTACGGAAGCCGCCATATTGGAGTTAAAAGAAAAAATTGGRAAAGACTTCTTCCACCTTCAGCAAAGTAATTTGAATAATTGGAAAACGTATACGAAAATTTACAACACCGGTATAGAAAAGTAAGTGATTAACCTTAATATATAAATAATGTAAAGAAAAACTTCATTATCTTTACTGTCAGCAGGTTAGACATTCTGTTGGCTGAAACACCGCTGAAAACCGGCAGTATATGGGAAATATGTGGCAAGTCGGGCGTGGGGAAAACTCAATTGTGTCATACAATTGCTTTCAATTTTGCGGCACAAACTCAAGGCACAGTTTTATACATAGATACAAAATGCGACTTTTCTGGTACGCGTATAATGGAAATGTTACGCTGCCGTCATGTACCCAATAATATTTGCGGGCGTATAATGCAAGATATCTTAGTTGAGCGCACAGGAACTGCCGAGGGTTTGTGCGAAATACTAGAAAGGCTTGATTTGCAATTGAATGCAGGTGCTGATGCTGACGGCGGTAATATAAAATTGGTTATTATCGATGCATTACCGGCTGTGTTTTTTAAATATCGCAGCGAATTGAACCATCTTAAAGGTTTGGAAATTTCAACAGATTCTATAAACATAATATAATATACTTTACAAATATTATTTAAGGAAAATATTTGCTGGCAAAACTAAACAATTTAGTTTACCAATTATCTAAAGAGCACCATATTGCTTTCGTCTACGTTAATTTGTTAGTCAACATTGAGGAAGAACAACAAGTACCTGAAGATATGGGCAAGTAATAATTTATATTAGTAGGAAAGTAAAAATTAATAAGCTTTAAATTATAGATAACGAAGAAATGAGCGAGCCATATGAAATGCCATCCGCTTCCCTAAATCTCGCTGGCTGTGTAGGCATGCGTCCAGCTCTGGGTGAATATTGGAATCGCGCACCCCATTTACGCTTATCATTGGAAACGCCACTAGACAACACTTCAATAACAAATGAGCGCATATTGAGAGTAATAAGGAGTTGCTACACTGCTGTAGGCACCACGTGCAATCTTCATATCACAACTGCGGGTGTTTCTTAATTTAAAATGAATTATATGGAAGCAGCATGCAAAAGTAAGTTGTCCTTTTGTATATCAACTCACATGTATGTTTTTCCGAAATCTTTTAAGACTGCCAGAAATTAAGATTTATATTATATCTAAGAGATTGAGATAAGAGCTATTACCATAAAATCATAATAATTAGTTCGTACCAGTAAACACAACGGTGTATGTAGATTGTGGCTGTGAATTAAGCATAAAAGAAAAACTGAAAGTATTCCATTTCTAAGGCTTCTTGGGTTGTGGTTTCGTACGTCACACTCTTCGAGATTTTATGTAGGCTAGTGGGCGATTTATGATATGCATCCCTAACACAGGATTGCGGTCACAGCCACGGTGTTTACACAAACAAGCCTCGACAAATATATCACATCATATAGAAACATCACAAAATAGTGTATTATTATATAGTGTTGTTTGGGACGTACTTATGGCTTGAATTTTATAGTTGCAAAGGTAATGCTCCACATAGAGTACATATTTATATTATCTTGTGCATATAATGATTTCGTCTAATGCTTGGTGTTTGCTGCGCAGTTTAAGTCATTGTATTCTAATCGGTGGCGGCGGCAAGTTATGCGCTTTATAGCAGCACTCTCTTATTTGATTTAGTAACGTGGAGTAGCAATAGAGTGTGGAATCAGAGAAAAAATTCTATATAGTATAGCATTTTAAAGTAATAGTTTTTTCAACTTTCAAATATTTTTTTTTTTTTTAAGTGTAAACCAAAATGTCAAATGCTATACCGCAATCAACGGAAAATGGAAATAATTTACAATCCCGTGCACCTCTGAAAATTGCTATTATTGGCGGTGGTTTGGTGAGTGAGCTTAGTGAATTTTTTTTTTTGCGAAATATGTATGCAAAATTACTTTTCATTTCACGCCAAGTTTACTAAAAAAGTATTAAAAGAAGTAAGAATTTGTTTTAACCAATTTTTAAATTTCTTAAAGATTTATTCACAATCAATCTTAAGTGTCCTGCGTACATTAAAGAGGTTTAAAAAAAAAAAAAATAGGGTGTTCAAAAATCACAAGAATGTAGCTAAAAATCATTTGAATTGGAAAAAGTGTTCACAAACCACAGTGACAAGAACCGATTTTCAGGTTATAGTTGAATCAAAGGTAAAAAAATAAGCCAATATTTGAATACAGCCGATAATTATTGTGTGTATAAGTACATATCTATATATAATAAATATATTTGACTTTCATAAATCAACTAACCATTAAAAACTCATTTAAAGACATATTAAGTACGCAAGTGTTTATAATTGTTTAATAAATTTCAAATAAATTAAATATGCACGTCTATTGCATTCTCATAAACCACTATTACTACGAAACAATCTCAATAATTGTTCAGAATATATTATTACACTTATTTAGCACAAGGTTGAGAAAAAAAATCATTTCTATCTCCTGTGGTTGGATTTTGCAAAATTATAATAAGTTATACATACATATACAGCTACAAACAAAGCGTAATTCAGACATGAAAGAATAATTCATATAAAGTCGGCAAACTTATAAGTGATAAAGTCAAATCGCTGATAAGTGCAGTATGGCATTGACATTGTCAAGCAGAGGTGCAGAGGCATCATTATCATTGAATCGGCACACGTCGTTTCAAAACTTTTCTTTCTTTTAATATATTTTAGCTTTTSATTGATAGCTAATTGGCAGCATGTATACTTTGGAACGTTATTCACTAATTTAAATCAAAGCTATAATAATTTTTATAATAAAAAAATAATATGAAAAGATCTTTATCTTGATTTTGATGGATCAGTTTGAATGGCAGTTACATGGTATAGTGCTCCGAATTTGTGCCAAATTTTGAGAAGAAATCTTGTCAAATAAGAAAATTTTTCTCTACGATGACTCGAGTCTAATATTTAGGGTGTGAACATATAAGTATATAAATTTGTTTTGAAACGATTTTTCAAATTTTTTAATGGTCCGTTAAAAATTTTAGAAATTATTGTATATTAATTATTCGTAACCRGAACGGACMCGAATATTTTTATCCGGTCAAGGACTGTCAACTCGACTTAACGAGCATTTTCATTTACAGGTGGGCTCGTTAGCCGCACTCAGTTTCGCACGACGCGGTCACGAGGTGCATTTATATGAATACCGTGAGGATATACGTACCGCGGAGCTGGTACAAGGTCGCAGCATTAATCTTGCCTTGTCGCAACGTGGGCGCAAGGCATTGGCCGAGGTAGGGCTGGAACAGGAGGTGCTCGCTACAGCGATACCGATGCGTGGACGCATGTTGCACGATATCAAAGGCAATCGCACGGTGGTGCTGTATGATCCCTGCACAAATCAGTGTCTCTACTCCGTGGGGCGCAAGTATTTAAACGAAGTGCTTTTGAATGGTTTGTTGAATTTATGATTTTTGTAAATTTAATATTTTTCATAAATTATGTTTTTCATAATTTTTTTTATTTAAATTTTTTTTTTTTAATTTTTTTAATAATTAAAATTTCTTAAAATAATTTTATAATATTTATTTATTTTTTTTAATTTCCCCATAGCTGGTGAAAAATTTCCTAATATTCAGCGCCATTTCGAGCATAAGCTGAACTATGTGAATTTGACGCACGGGCGCATGGAATTTAAGCGGTGAGTTGCTRTTTTATTTAAATTTGCAGCTTAATTCAGCTTCTTGTTGTGCYTTGAAAGCTATATTTTATTACTTTGTCACAATTATGTTAATTTACAGCGCTCCCAACAAAGAAATAGTGGAAGCCAACGCCGACTTGGTTGTAGGCTGTGATGGCGCCTTCAGCACAATGCGTCAACAATTGGTCAAAACGCCTGGCGTTAACTATTCGCAAGAGTACATCGAACATGGCTATTTAGAGCTTTGCATACCAGCGAAGAATGGCGAGGTATTTACATATTCAAAGCTCTTTGCGCTCTAATTAATTACTATTTTATTCATAAAGTTCCAAATGCCTGAAAATTACTTGCATATCTGGCCACGTGATGCTTTCATGATGATTGCACTGCCCAATCAAGATAAATCCTTCACAGTTACGCTGTCCATGCCATTCAAAGTGTTCGACACCATACGCACCAACGAAGAATTACTAAATTTCTTCCACAAATACTATGCCGATGCAGTGCCACTAATTGGMGAGGAGCGGCTGCTTAAGGATTTCTTTAAAATGCCACCACAGCATTTGGTCTCAGTGAAGGTAAGCAGTARTGAAAAGTTTCTCAATTTCAACTTCAAAGTCTAACCACAAATTTTCTTTTTATACGCAGTGCCATCCCTACCATTACGGCGATAAGGCGCTCATTCTCGGCGACGCTGCACACGCTATGGTGCCCTACTACGGACAAGGTCTGAATGCCGGTATGGAAGATTGCACTTTGCTCATGTCACTCTTCGATCAGCCCAATCTCAGTACCGCCGAAATATTGGAGCAATTCACCGAGTTGCGTTGGCGCGATGCCCATGCCGTTTGCGATCTGGCCATGTATAACTACGTTGAGGTGCGCAAATAAATATATAAATTTTACAATTTCATACTCTYTACTTCTCTAATCGCTTACAGATGCGCGATTTGACCAAACGCATTAGCTTCCGCTGCCGCAAATGGCTTGACACGCAGCTGTTCCGCTGGTTCCCCAGCTGGTGGGTGCCGCTATACAACAGCGTTTCGTTCACTAGCATGCCGTACAGCAAGTGTATTCTTAATCGCAAATGGCAGGATAAGGTGACAATTGAATTATTATGTTTATAGAAAAATTTTAAAATATTTAAACCTTTCCCCCTTTGCAGCTGTTGAGTAATGTATTCATTTCTGCTTCGGTGGCGCTTGTGGTTATGGGCCTTTCAACATATTTTGGCGTTTTTAAAATCAGTTACTTTTAATTTATGCAGTTCCTAGTTTTAAYATAAGAATAACACGCTGCTTCTTAACGTACGAAGGTATTAGTTGCTCTGTTTTTATTTTGTCTCATGTAGTGTTTGTAGAAAATAGTGCATGTGTGAGTTGTAGTGTAGTTTATTGACAGTTATATAACATATTTATACACTAAGCAAATAGTGATCCGAACTAAAAAATTTCTTCGGAGATTGAAGCGTTGCCTTGAATCATAAGCTATGCATTTTTTATGTTTGCTTAGTCAAAGCAAAGTCGGCAACCAGCAGAATTTGGGGAAAATATAAAGAAACGTTTTTGKCAACAATCAAGATAATCGGCCTGCCTGTCCCTAACTAGGCCCCGCCAATATGGTCGACTGGTTGCAGCGAAATGCAGACGAGGAAGCTGTCAGAAAACTGCACTCCGGCCTACTACAGGATGCCTCTTGATGTCTCCCATAGAACACCTGCATAGTGAAGCCCTTAAGCTACCAGTTAAGATGCCTAATTGCTATTGCTATTGTGCTTTCACAGAAATCATCCCTGCAGTCAACTGCTTGGAGCGGAAACGCCTCCTAGGAGCATCAAGAGATCCTTCCATGTTGAACACCATAATATGTCCAGCGTGAAACGAGTCCCCGCAAGATACCAGCCCCCTCTTTGTATATAATGTTAACCCTATTTATCTGACACCCCTGTCCATATAGTCCTACCCCATCGAAACAGCCCGTTTCCTGAGCCTATCTTTGTATGACCTTGATGACAAACTTTCTAATTAGGATTAGCTGCTCGTTACAAAAACAACATCATAACTTATGCTATCTATTATCTATTTATGTTCAATTCCTACAAAGCCGGTTCTACTTTGTCTGACTTGACCCGGAATTTATCCGGCCAAGGGCTGTGCTTTCGGAGATCTAACGTTGTTGTTGTTGTTGTTGTAACGGCAAAATTCTGCCGAGTTGACAGTCCTTGGCCGGATAAAAATCCGGGTCCGTTCCGGTTTTCGTAGACCCGACTGTCGTGGGAACGGGGAGATCTAACGTCGTTTGGATCGCTGAGTTTTAGATCAAGATCATAATCTATGTCAAATTTCGTGTAGTTACCTTGGCAATAAACMAATATACCACGCAAGGACATGTATTTCATCCATCAGTTTATGTGGCAGCTACAGTGGTCCCGTATCGTCGATGAAATATATGAGWATTTTTTTTTTTTTTAATAAAWACGTGTTACACGTCATACATTTGTCGTTATTGCTTGCAGCGCTTCAACTTTTTGTGTAAACAGTTCGCTAATATGCAAGTAAAACGCAAAAAAATTGCCTGCTTTTAGGCTGCTCATCGCACCGAAAGCACATGCTCTACACAACTAAACGCTTACAGATACTTTCACAGTGTGTGTTAGCGCACATTTATTTAAAAGATTAAAATTTAAAATAAAAAATACATTATTCCAGTTAAMATAAATAAATATAACAAGTTGCTCACCACACTCAGTGCAATTTCAAAGGCTGCTTCACTCAAGTAACTYTCCACTGCTTTTTACTATTAAATTTAAATACTTTGCTCACTACGCACATGTTGCGGCTTCCTCACTYTGTGTCGAAATGACTTTCAGCCGTTTCTGGTGATATGTATGTATGAAGCAAAAACTGTCAAATAACCCACCACCGCACCACCACGTGGTTTTCAAAATTCCCTAGTTAATTTTTATTTTTTTTCTTGTTATTTGAGAGTGTGCATATGCGTGAGTGTGTGTGTGTGTGCCGCACATGGTAAGCGCAGATAACTCAAAAATGCGCTCAGTTAGCAAAAAAACACAAAAACAAAGAGAATCTGTCAGAAAGTGTGTGTAGAAAAAAGAAGCAAATATAAAAACCTATCACTTTTGTGGAGCGC